GCCTTTTTTTCAACCAATGAGAAAAATAAAATTTAGGCAAAAACCACGTAGATTATGTCGACGCCAGAAAAGATGTCAAAGTATAATTATAAGGAACCCGCTGTCGGATTCACCGAAAAATTTTGCATCTAGCGCCCAATTTTTATCTAATGTGGTGCTGCGCGGCAAAAGTACCTAATTTTCTAATGATAAGATGTAACCGAGAAAGCAGTGTGGAAAAATAAAGAAAACTTCAGGCTATCCAGTGTCGAAAAAACTTTCAAGATCGGATGAAATTTGTTCAGTAAATTTTTCATTTTGGTGTGTCCAGCTAAAACTACAGAGATTATGGAATTACCCCAGCCAGGCAAGCACGATTATGCCCTAGTTCTAAAAGCTATTTATCACTTTAAGACAAATCAAGTGGATTTAACATGTGCCAAATGGAGAGAGCAAGGAATCACGGTGGCAGGACACGAAGGCGAAGGAAAAGGCAAGAATCAACTCAGGTGGCCACGAGGCATATTCATAGATGAACACGATACGCTATTCATCTGTGATATGCTCAATAACCGCATAGTGCAAGTGGAGAAGCCAGGAAGAACATGGGAGGAGAGAAAGACAACTTCGACAGTTGTAGCAGAGCAGCTAAGCTATCTACACTCTATCACCATGGACAGAGAAGGCACAATGTTCGTCGCATGCGCTGAGAAGGGAAACAAGGATTATCCTATTTACCGATGGCCGAAAGACGCTACTTTGGGCGAAATCATTCTCATTATGTCTAGCCCGATCGGTGGGATCACACTGGATGAGAAGGAAGAATTTCTTTATTTGTCACACTACCAATATGGTTCTGTAACACGACATAGAAAGGATGGAAAAGACGAGGGCGAACATACGGTGGCTGGGGGTTACGATCGAGGTATTGTGCGACGTAAGTAAATTGACCGTCGCAATCTTTTTTTCTTTCCGTTTTCTCGTCTTTTTAGCCCAAGGTCTTTCCGTCGATCGAGAGGGCTCTCTATACATTGCCGACGGCATCGGTATGCGTATTGTAAAATGGCCCAAAAATTCCAAGCAGGGGAAAGTAATCGCCAGAGGAGAGGAATACAATGTTTTTGGGGTAATTACTGTCGGAAAAGAGAAAACCGGTGGAAATGTGTGGTTGAAGGAACCAACAGATGTCTTGGTCCATACACCATCTGGTGCTATCCTTGTGGTTGATCAAGCCAATCACCGAGTGATCCGATTTCAAGAAGGGGATGCATTTGGACACGGAGAAATTGTTGCGGGCGGGCACGGAAAAGGAAACGACGCTACTCAGCTAGCTCGTCCATACAATGTGGCATTAGACAGTCATGGCAATTTGTTCGTGTCTGACTGGGATAATCACCGAATTCAAATGTTCGCTCGTCTGTGATGAATTACTTTCCCAGACAACTATAAACGTGTTCCTTGTTCCCATACAAAATTTTCATCTTCTTTCTCTGAAGTATATCCTCATGATAGTTCGTCTTGAAGTAAGGCAGATTTAATGTAACATAGGTGTTATTCAAATTTTCTTTGATTTCAACATTTCCTCATCTTTGGACACTCGAGGACCTATCAGAAAATAAGCGGCTAGGTAATATGCGTGACTGTATCACCGAAACTCCTGGCTTTCGATACATTGAAGAGTGAGCAGAAGGAATTCTTCAAATGTTTTATTTTTAGCATAAGCTAACAACGTAAACTATGATTGTATGGCCCGCTTAATCTTCATGCCTGAGGTTCGACAAAGACATGTCCATATAGGTAATGGAGGCTGGTGATCACGATGACGCTATCTGAGTGCCCAAAAACCCAAAGGATCCTGCCGAAAACCCCTCAAGACCCTCTGAAAATCCTAACCCACAACAACATGACCCGACCAATTGTAATGTATCATTATCATATGGTTTCACTTGAGTTTGATCGAACCATCCACCCCATAGATCAACAACTAATTTTCCTTCATGATAAATCGCTACGGATGTACCTAAATCTCTTTGTTCTACAAGATTTTGCCTGAGAAAATCTCGAATATATTCCCATCCATCGGCGGTTGTACCATAAATATTAACATCCACAGTTTTTCCCACAACAGCTGTTATGATCAGCAACGACCATATCCAAATAGAATAGTGCATTGTGACTCATGGGTCGAATTGCGTCATAAGTAAAACCAAACGTAAGAGAACAGAATTACAGAATGACGATGACTTATGTATGAGTGTTGTTGTTCGGGCAGAGGCAGAAAAGTACGCACTTTCTTGAGTAGGAGTGCGAGTATGAACCTCTCAAGTACGAGTGTTCTCTTTTTCACAGAGAAGAGTCTTGCAAACATGAATCGTCTGCTTGCTTGTATGTCTGCACTTCTCTGATTGGTCAGATCAATGGAGTGACGTACGAGCCTACGGTCTCTGAAAACTTTATCAAAGGTTATCAGGGGAGGAGAGTCCAAATCTGGCGTTAGTTTTAATTAACTGATTATTTCCCCGACTGTACAAAGATCTAGTGCTGGAAAATGCGTTTGTAATCTCGGTTTGGAGAGGTCAAAAAAATACCACTGCGGTGTGTCTTGGTCAATTCTGCACACGACGGTAGGAAAGGGGTTTTCAAGGTCGTAGATCTCGAATCTGACGAATGGAAATCGAGTTTACCTGCAAAGTGCCAGGGAGAAGTTTTTCGAGCCGGAGATCTCGAATCTGATGTCCATTCTGTCCGCAACCCTGTTGGTCAGTTGCTGACCAATGGAGATCGAGCTTTTCAAAAAACGGCTAGAAAGGGGTGTTCCACGACAGAAACCCACAATCTAATATCCAGTGACCCAGAAACCTATTGATCAGCAGGTGATCTACGAAAAACGAGTTTTCGGAATGACAGTCATATGAAGGTTTCTTGCATCCAAGATATCGAATGTGGCTTGGATTTGCCTCGAAAGTCTATAAAAGCACCTTGAACGAAATTTTGATCGAAGAAAGCATTTTCAAGAAAAAGCGTGGGTGCACAGGTTGCTCAGAATCAGATCTCCTGGAATACGAACGAAAGATTTTTCAGAATTTCGTTAAACTGGATTTTGAGATTAAATTCGACGAAATTTAAAAATAGTATTTTGAAGTAGCACGTAGATTCGACGTGTATTGTTTTGGATGTTTCCAGGTGGTGTTAACAAAAAGTTGTCTAGATTTGATAAGAGAAGAACGAAAAGAATGAAACAAAGATGAACTCTTTGGAAACTTTTCGCCTTCCATTCCAGTTTTTCTTTTTTAATACGAATTTCTGCTTATGAATGAGGCGTTTATAACCACTTCATTCTTTTAAAAGACTCAAATAAAAAGGCAGAAAATTAGAATGCTAAACGAGACGTTTCCAAGGAATCCATCTTTGTTTCTTTCTTTTCTTCTCTTATCAAACCTAAAAGAACTTTCACTAACACAACCTGGAAAAATCCAACTGAGAATTCGAAAAACACAAGAACATAGAGTAATAGAAGGTTATGTAAGTTATATATGGGAGAATTTGAGAGGAAAAGAGAGAGAGAGGATATATTAAAATTTGTAAAGTATATAACTTCTGTTCACTGAACAGAATATAGCGGAAAGTAAGCTTTCATGGATAGAGAAACCTTTCTGACTAGTGCACAGAATCTCATCTGCTTAGCAAGATGAGTATTCATCTAGACATATCTGGAGACGTCTTTGATATTCTGGCATAACGTAAAGCATTTTCCGTCGCTTTTAGCTGTATTTTAAAACTAATTTAATTTAGATTATGCTATCAGCGATTTAAATACTAGAATTGTATAGAATTAAGCCTTCGAATGAGACTAAACCCAGATTTTTAGGTCACTCAGAAGTGTTCCAAAAATCACAACCAAAGACTGACGGATGACTTTTGAGCTACTCTGTATTTATCTTCATGGATAACATGTTCAAGAGTTTTGTCTGCTGATTGGCTAGTATATAATTGGCATGATGATCAATTAGTTGCTATGTTCTTATTCGAGTTTTTCCCATAATTATAGTTCCAAAATCAAAATTCAAGCTGAATGTAAATCTGCCATCCGGACACAGTTGTGATTGACTGTAATCGTCCGTCACATCTGTAGAAAGTACCTTATATCCTTGTCTTTCGACATATTTGCCTTTGAATTCACCTGTTGTATAGATGAACTGTTGTATTGTGGAAGTGGCTTTTTTCACATAAATGATAGACTCTTGATTATACTTTTGACCCAGTTTAATCATTGCTGCACGTTCCTCATCCGGTGAAACATTGTGTAGTGTAACGAAGAAACTTGTTTCTTTATCGCCATTATAGACACCCACCATAGTTGAGTAGATATATAAATTGGTCAAATCAATTGTCAAATTAACGGTTCGCTCTTGAATAGTTTCATCACTCAAATTGCGATCACTAGGCATCTTATTATTACGCCCTGCACTTATCAGAACATAACCACCTTCGTTGAGTAATCTTTGTACTGCTGATTGAGAGTATGTTATTGGATTTATGATTGACGTCCATGTACCTTTAGTTAGGAAGAAATTGAAAAGATTTCTAAAAATTAACCACTCACTTTGTACAATTTAGTACCTGAGGGTGATAGAAAAACTTACAAAATTAATAGAAAAGAACATGGTGAAACGATAGCTGAGGCTATCAATCAGTATTCAGCAGTGGACAAAAGTTTCCGCTTTAACAGATTGTGGACTATGTTAGGACTACGAGCCGCAAATTTTGGCCCTATATTCTGACTTACGTCGGAAATGTAGATATAGATCTGGGAAGAAGTTGCATGTGGCCAGAGTTTGATCCATATGAAACAGAACGGCATGCCTAAAGCTATTTTGTCTTTGTTTGAAGCCTCTTAAGTTTATCTAGCACAGTTCGTTTAGGTTTTTCGTCATATACATGGTTAATTCTCGATATTTTTGTATGAAAATTGAACCCACCTTATGCTACTTATCCGTTTCAAATGAGAGCCCCATCATCAGCTTCTCGAAATGCATTGTCCTCCCGCCTATTCCCAAGCTTGGACGTCATAGTCATCTGTGTGCCATTTCACTCCAACGGAGAAATACTATTTGAAATTTGTAGTCAATAAACTTTAAATCATTCACCAGTGTTCTGTAAAAATTCCAAGTCGATTTTTATGAAATCTAAATCAGTTTCCGTTTTGCAAAGAGCAGTCAACGATCTTGTTGCCTGCTGTTCGAGTTATCGAAACAGAGCTGGTGTTCCTGACTTATTATTTTTGAATAGCATATGCACACGAATTTTCAGATTTCCATTGCCAGCTCTGCCTGAGATCCACTACAACTGAAACATATGTACGCTACTGTATTCAGCATATACAGGATCGTTCGGCTGATCAAAATAGTTATGTATTTTTGGTAACCTGGTAATCTTTCAAATGTTCTACCAGTGTTCGAGACTGATAGTGCTGATGTAACAACTGAATGACAAGCGAACAAAGCTTTAGAAAGATAATGCAGGCAATTCTACTTTCTACAGTCCTATTAAGGGTACCCCTCCCCTCTTTTTGGGGTTTCCGTAGAAATGCTGTGAAATAAAAGCTAAAAGCCACTAGGGCTTTGTATTTTTCAAAACTGATTGGAAACTCAGTGAGCACTTTTTGTTTTTTGTTTCAAGTTTTCAGCTATTGCGCTTCATAAGTTTTTCATTGTGCCACATTACTAGCCCCCTTAAATGTCATTCGGTCGAGTTCAAAATTTTACCAGAAGCACTCAAGGTCATTCCGCAGAGGTATTTTTTGAGAAATTGTTTTGAGACCTATAGTTTTAGAGAATACCGCATTTTATACGTAGATCACTTTTGTGGAACTCCCTCACTATCTTCGAAGAAGAGGGCGTAACAGTTTTATACCCAAAAGCCGCTATTTTTATGGTAAATTTGACCACTCCCTTACCTCTTCTTACACGCTCTTAAAAAGTATCCTTACACGATCTTAAAATGCCCTTTACGCGACATGAAAACTTTTACGCGATTGACCATAGTACCTTTCGCGATCTTAAATTGTGTTTTACACGATCTTAAAATGATCTTACGCCATCTTAGAAATAATTTTCTTTTTTGAGACTAGACGTCTCAGTATTGGGAGTTCCACGTTTTAGCACCTTCAGGTGCTACCCTGTCAAGGTTTTTTCAGAGCATTTGCCGCGATGCTTATATCGCCGCGAAAACTCATCGGAGTATTCTGTAAAACGTCTCATGGTGAAGAAGACACTTTCTTCTATCAGACTAAGCGTGGAGTACTGGAAGTGGTCTTATTTTGTAGCTCACAATGTCCTCTACATTACACTATGCTTAGATCAAAATCCGAAATTTTTACAAAAAAGAAGGCGCGTACCCTTAATACCTTTATCGCCTTGTTTCTTCTGTCGTCTTTCTTTGCCATATAAAACACCGAGAACTATTATGCCAACGAGAAGAAGAACGAAAATAATAATCGCCGCTATGGTAATCTTACGGTCGACCCCCATCAAGCTATCATTTCTGGAAAAGATCTAAAAATTGTACAATTTTCAACTTTGTATCCTACAAATTGTCCAGCTACCAGCCTCCATTTTTTGCTCTTTTTCGAAAAGTTATTTCAATAAAGCTACAAACTAATCTAAAATGGCAATTAGATAATTATTAAAGAGATTAAACATTTCTCTACAAAATGAAATGTCTCGGCTCTGAATGTTGATTCGTTATGAAAATACAGCTGTTGTACAAACAGCCTCAAAAATCGATTCTGCGGAAAGCTAAATCGAATGGTGTTTCTTTTAACTGAGTTTGAGTAAAGTCGTGTTTTCGCTGAAGCGACGGTTCAGAGAAAACACTGTCTTTTACCCTTTCTCGTGCGCAATCACGTTAAACTAGGTTTTTATTGTTAACTAAGTTTGGTTTAGCAATGTTAGTCGATACGCCGCCCCTCACTGTCAATAAGTTTTCAGAATAAACAATGCCACCGCCGTCGGTCGAAATAATTTTGCTAAAAAACTTGCTTTTTGTTAATAACTAGGTTAGTTAACTGTTAAATTCGAAAACGCTTGTCTAACACATACATCATCGTCGCCTTTTGTCGTAATAGACATTTTATGTGCAGCTACGCGCCAGTATGTCGGCTCACAGTGGGCAATTTTCACTAAGCACGCGGATTTCTGGTCTGCAAGCTAGAGGAAAACTTAAAAGCGCGTTTTCTATAGGTTATCTTGTGTGCTCTATCTAATCGAATGCTTTTCGAATTCTAAAACGATTTTCTAAGTGGTTTTTCGGAGATCTGATCTCTAGAAAACCTTTAGAAAACTGGAACACAATTGCATTGGATAGAGAATCATCGATAACCTATTGTAATAGTGTTTCATCTGTTGATAATTTTACATGTTTACAATTTCAGTCAAAAATCCCTATACGCACATGCAAGAAACAAAGGAATTAAACAAATTCAAAATTTTCAGCACAAACACGGCTGAATTATACACCATTCGACGCCGTCTTTTGCGCTGATTCAAAACATATCATTGGTTTTTAAATTCAATGTTCTTGGACTGAGATAATCCGGATTTATCTCCAAAACCAAGCGTTTTTGCAAAATCTATAACTCGATCCACGAGCGTTTGTACTATAACTATATATGTATCGTTAGCAGGTCTACCCTTGGTAAAAAATTCGTTGGCTTTGAAGTTTCGGGAAAAATCGGAAACCGATTACTCTGAGCGCACATTTTCGGAAAACACGTAGCAAAAAAAGAAACCTAATTTTATCGGTTATGGAAAAGCCAAAACAGAAATATTTTTTACGAATGGATAGAGCGAAATGCTTAGTTTTAGACTATGCAAAAAAGTGTTAATATATCGTCTATTGATTCGTCGCAAAATGATTTTCTATCTAAGCTGCTCTGTTTTCTTAAAAGCAATTCATCGTGGATTTTCCCCCTAAAACTGACGCCTAAAAAAGACTTGCAATGGCAAAGTTATAGTGCGTATGATGAAGTATATGCTCTGCTATCCAAATCTCGAAAAATCTCACTTTCGTTTTTTCACCTGATGTCCACATGGTTGCCCACTCTGCGGCTAGCACCTCTAGATTTGGTTAGCACCAAATATTGGACTATAATTTTCAAGTTCGTACAGTATTCAGTTCGCAAAAGCAAATTCTTGTCTACATATCCGACGTACATAATCATCGTAATTGTGCATCGACAACTGGTCAACCCTCACCTGCTCGCGATATGGTTAGGAATCGGTTGCTACTAGATTAGCTCAGTCACAAGTATAACGAGCTATTCAGCATGAATATAATGGATGTGTATCCCCAACAAGTAATAAGCATTCTAACTTATCAACACTCATTAACCCAACCGTCTATGTTCTCGGTGGATGATTTTTGTCGGTGAAAAATTTTAATTGTACGTTCCTCCTGAATAACGTAATAATATTTAATAATGTAAGTATTAATCTTTATACTCCATAAGGAGGAATGAGTAATAAGTTCTTGACGGAAACTTATCAGTTTGCACTGATGACTTTTTCTCGTTTCAGAATCTGGTCATTATGGTAACGACCTTGGAATGGGTATGAGAATGGTGTTTCAAACAGCTCGATCACTGAGCCACAAGCGTGACTGTGATCAATTTCCAAGATCGCCTCGTGACCGTGACAGGAAGTCCAGTCAGGGTGGGTCATAACTCTTTTTTTCACACTATTTTTTGTGATTTGTTTTCTTCGCTTGGGCGCTGTTAATATGTTAGAGAAAAACATAAAATAAGCCGACCAGACATTGCTAGACACGTAACAACGACTTCTGCTTTTTAGGAAAAATTCTTGAGGATG